AGTAATAAGTTTCATTAACTTTTTTCTAGAAATTAAGATTAAGAATATTTTATAATCTCACATGTGAAATTTCCTATTACTTAATAAATACCTGCTTTCAATCACTTTGATTCATACTTGTGTCTCAAAGTATGAAAGGTAAAATAAGATTCAACACTTTTAAACTGACCCCGGTTGCTTGAAACATCTAAAATACTTCCCGACAAAGTTTAGGTGCATGATATTTCTTAATTTGCAGGCAATAAGCAGTCAAGTCTTTGTGGAATTACTATCTTGATGTAAATAATGCAAATTTTCAAAAATGCTAAATTATGTTTCAAAAAAGTGAAATACTTTACATCAGCTATGCCGCCGTGAAACAGTGAAGTGCTTAGAAAGAAACTCCACAGTCTTCTACGAAGCTCACGTCTCCACGAAGGCATTGACAGTACATCCGTGATCATACGAAGCACCGACGTCACAATGGGACCAACAGCACAGGGCACACGGACTGCAGACAGCGCTGTAAGGAGGACGCCAGCGAGGAAGCCCCGCACCGCGGATCATGCGCTCGCGCCTGCCGACTCACACGCGCTGCACCGATGCCTCAGTGGTCACGCGAACCCATCCTCTCCAGAAGCATCAGTGCAGTTCACAGTTCACTGGTGTTTGCTCATTTTAACTTTGCAGGCTACGATTTTCAAAATCAAAACCCTCCTAAATACCAGATACTTGGTTTTTCTTGTGTTGAAAAGTAACAAACAACCTAATAGATGACCAAAGCAGGGACGTGAAGAGACAGCAACCCAGTCACGAGCCCTGAGGATGCAAAGCTCAGGGAGAGCGGCCCACAGGAACCTGCGACTAAACGCTCTGTCCTTTTTGGGACAGTGGTCATTTATCTCTGGAGAAGCGTCTCCTTTGCTGAACATGCCACCTCCTGTGCTCCTGGATGTGGTTATGCCAGGAGAGAGAGCCCTTCTTTCCTGCACCCTTCTCCCTCCAGCCCACTTCTGGAAGACCTGAGCCAAGGGGCTGTTGTGTTGTGTGGTGGGAGGCTGTTTGGTGTTCACCCAAAACTTCAGTGACAGGAAAAAGGGAAGTGTTGGCTCTTATCTCATTCTGAGGAAAACTAATGTCCAAAGCACGAACACAATTCTATTTTTAAGTACTTGTTCATTAGCGAAGATGATGAAAGTGTAAATATGAGACGGGCTAAGGCCTGCAACTTTGACTCAGGCTATATTTTAGAGCACTGTGACATTTAAAAATGAAGCTACAAACTCTACTCAAGCTCACCTCTGGTACTTTCATTTCACACTATGTCTTGAAGAAGGCTGCCTGTGGAAGCCCAGAGCTTTTGCTTTGTGCTTTACACTGTGGAGTGGGGTAGTTGTAGCTATTTCTGAGGTGGCAGGTATGTGAAGTGCAAAGGAGGAGGAGCACAGGACCAGCTCAGGAAAGGGTGGCTGCTACTGACACGGAGACTGAAAACACCAGGAAAGGCGGCACGAGTTCTCATGCACTCTGACAAAGGAGACCTGACAGCGTGCGTGAGATGCTGCAGGCTGCTGCGTCCACCCTCAAGTTCGACAAGGGAGCTGATTAGACCCAGGGCAGCCACAGTGGCCTGGCTGCACTGAACCAGCCTCTCAGGGTTGAACTTGACTGGACGAGGGTACACTGTGGCTGCTTAAGTCTCAAAGAAACGAGTGATCTGCCCTAACTGTGTTTTATAAGCTTCCCCTCAAATGTGAAACTCAAAGGTCATTTAAGATGCAGTTGCTCAGGGTGCGTATGCCAACACACTGCCTGTGCTCGCTGTACGACAGTCTCCACTGGAGGGGTCCGAAGCTCAGTGCCACGCGTGGGTACAGTGAACTACCCAGAATCAACACTTCAAAACACAGAAAAACAATAACAAAAATAAGTTTCCCGACCTTTTAGTTGCTCTTGAGATTCACTCAGATGGAAAATAGACACTGAGGGATGTGTGGTAAAGGACGGGAGGCAGTCACCAAAGACCTGGTGGGACACACAGACCCGGAGGGTGAACCATCTCTGAGTGGGGCAAACATCTGGCAGAGGTGGACTGATGAAAGCGTGACTGAAGCTGATCTTCACACCTGCAGCTTTTTCTCGGCCACATCCTCGCCTTTTCCCGTCCCGCTCTTTAATTCACAATGAGCACGCCTGGCTCTAACCACTCTGTGTCTCCTGCATCCCTTGCAGCCCGTCGGTTCTCCTCTGCCTGGCTTCTGTCTCTGGGCCCGCGCCCCACAGTGACCCCCTCACCAGGTAGGCTTCCTCCGCACCCCTCCTCTCACTGCAAACAGAGTCACTTGCAACCCACCTCCCAGAGCGTGGTTTGTTCACCACTCTTATCAAGACTTCCCCACCCTGCCTTCCACGGCCTGCTGAGGATGGAGCCGAAGGGCCCTTTCCTCCTGCCTTTCCTCCGCAGTTCAGAAGTTGTCTTGGCTTCTCTTTCCCTCACCTTCCACGTGAGTCTCCTGGGCCTTTTCTACTCCTCCCATGGCCCTTTCTCCTTCACCTTTCCCGGCTTCTTCCTCCCTCATGCTCCCTGGGGTCTCACACCCAGTCTCCTATCATGAGGTTTCGAAGACCCCAGCATCTAGAGAGGCTGTGCCCTGAAACCCGTGTGTTCCCTCCCTGCTGGCCTCATGATCTGTGCTTCTCCTTGTGAGGCAGGCCCTACACAGCCCCATCTTCACTCACTCTATGTCATCCAGTCTTCCCTCCAAACTTTCTGCTCCTACTTCCTCTCCTGGTTGCCATCAGTTAAAGATGACCAAAGTATAAATATGAGACAGATTAAGGCCTTTTCACTGTTCTGTCTGCTTCCTGCTCATTAGTTATTTAGTTAGACAAATGCTGATTGTACATCTGTTACTGGTAAGAATGGAGAAATAGGCTTAAGGACCAAACCTACTCCTACTGCGGTGACAGAGAAATCAGCGAAAGATGTGCAGGACTGGTCAAGATATACAATGAATGCTAAAATTGAAAAAATTATTAGAGTTACGGACACCTTGCCAGGAATCCCCCTCAAAGTCCTCCCTGCTCCGGACACACGCATCCCACTGTCCTACACAGTTCTGGCTCACACTGGAACAACCAAGGTAGAAAGTTGGGCTGAGGGAGGTTGGGTTTCTAGCAGTGTGAGCTGGAGGCTCCATCCTCTCCTGGGCTCTCCACTGGGTGCAGGACCACTGACAGCAACATGAGGTTGCTGGGTTCAGACTCCGTGCTAGCAGCAGGTCTTGGAAATGTGCACAGGGCATTGGACAGGGTGTTAGAGGACACTCCCAGCTGCCAAGGGATGCAGGGAGCCCAAGTGAGGACACTCAGGAAGCTCCTCGGAGGCCCTCCTGAGGGCCCAGGGTGTAGGTCATGCAAACTCATCTGGAGAGTCCTGGGCAGCCATTCCTAGGTGTGGCTCTCAAGCAGCCCTATCTGTCCAAGCAGATCTCTGTCGCTTAAGGGAAAGAACAGGCAGAGGCAAGTGCTTGTCCATCTCTCAGCAGCAGAGTTAGTCAACAAGCGGCCTGAGAGGACGCCTACAGCGGCTGGATATGCCCTGTTCTTCGCTTCATCTGCCAACCACTTCCATGCAGATGGTGGGCCCAGCACCGCCAACTGCAGGGCAGGCCTGGAGGCTGAGGCCGAGGGTCAGTTCATTTCAGGTGAACCCTCACGAGAAAGCTTCCTGGAATGTGGAGCTGGCCACACCGAGTCACTGCCCCGAGAGCGGAGACGGCGATGAGGATCCCCACCGCCCTTCCTGAGCTCTGCCCGGGCAGTGGCTGGAAGAAATCAGCTATGCAAACATGTGGAAACCTTGCACGTGTCTAACGATTTGTATCGTTCCAGTATTTCACAAACATTCACGTGCATGTGGATCAAGTTATTGGCTCTGGGGGAGTCCTTACAGAATTCTGGAGCCATC